AGAGAGAGAGAGAGAGAGAGAGAGAGAATAGGCCTACATGCTGGTGTAGATTTCAGTTGCAAGCTCTTTTTAAACTAAAAAAAACCAACAAACGCACTGAGTGCCAGTATCAAAACTTGAAAATGTGTATTATGTATCGCTAACACATTTTTATATTCCCTCATTCACTTTGAGCAAGCTTTCGATTACACTGCGACTCCCTTAAGTAACCATAATCGATACCCATCGAGGCGAGTTCGTGATAGCAAAAACTAGGAATAGTTTCTCTTGCATACCTATTTTTGGAAGTGTGTGTGTGGGGGGGGGGGATTCTGGAACCGCTTATAAGACCACTTTCGAAATGCCGCAGGTGCGTTTAGAAAGGCGTAAGTCATATTCTCAAACAGGGAGAAAACCGGGGCAAGTGGCGCATACACGAGACACGAAACAGCCCACGTCGGTGTCAAATGGCAGCCACGTGCGTCACTTCCCTTTCCTGGTCCAGGTGGCCGGGGAAAATGTGTAAAAAACAAGGGAAATGTAATTTCCAGAGTGATTACTAGTATTAGTACGTATCATCATCATCCAGTGCTTTGCCGACGGGCGTGGGCGATCATGGACCTCCACTGCCCTCTGTTCTGCGTTGCAGCGATGGTGTCTGTTGTTCTTGCTGTTCCCAGCCATGTTGTTAACTTGTCCAGTATCTTTTCCCTTTGTCTGCCTCTTCCTCTCTTTCCACCCAGCTTGCCTGTTGTTGCCATTTTCTCCAATGCTTCTTTCCGCATTGTGTGTCCAATGAAATTTGCCTGCCGCTTTCGTATATTCGTCATAAGCTGTCGTCTGCAATTTGCTTCAACCAAGACTTCTTCATTTGTTTTTCTAGCTGCCCATGGGATATGCAGCATGCGTCTTATGAACCTCAACTCTGCCGCCTCAATTGTTTTTTTCATGCTGTCTGTTGATTGTCCATGCTTCGCACCCGTATAATAAGATTGGCTCGATGTAACTTTTCAGTACTCTTTTTCTTGTTTCCAGTGACAGATTGATGTTTGTAAGCATATGTTTCATTTTGTGGAACGTTGCTTTTGCTTGGCAAGTGCGGCTTTTAATTTCGGTGTAACATCTCCTATCTGCTGTTATAATGGTCCACAATTATTAAAAACGTTTTACATGTACTTGCTTGAGAGTTTTACCACTGATTTTGATATTGCAGGTTGAGGGTGGAGTTTTTCTGCTTATCACCATTGTTTCAGTTTTCTTTTTGTTTTGACTTAGGCCCATGTTGTCACTATCTTGTACGAAACCTTTAATAGATGCTGTCGGTGTTCTTCTTCTTCTGCTATTAGGACTGTGTCGTCTGCATATCTTAAATTGTTTATGTTATGTCCCCCTTTTGAGATACCTGGCATTTCCTCTATGTGTCTCATGATATTTTCACTATACAGGGAGAATAAGTCTGGTGAAAGTACACATCCCTGTCTGACTCGTCTTTTAATCTGTGTGTATTCGCTGATGTCTTTTTCTATTCTTATTGCAGCAGTTTGATTCCAATACATGTTCTTGATAATTTCATAAGTCCTTCCCGTCAATATTGACGACTTCTAGTTTGTCGATGATCTTGCTGTGCCTAACTTTGTCGAATGCCTTGGTGTAGTCTATAAAGCATAGATGAAGATCTTTCTGAACTTTCAGGGCATGTTCTATTGTTGTTCTTATGAAATATTTTTTTTAAAATATGGCATTTACAGTGCCTTTGCCTTCATTTAAATCCACACTGTTCTTGGGCTATTTCTAGGAGAATTTTATTTCGTATTCTCATCATGATTATTCTAAGTAGTATTACGTGGTTCGTGAGGCTTATGGTTCGACGAGTTTCACACTCATTTGCTTTAGGTTTCCTTGGTTAAGCTATGAAGAAAGATTTTGACAAATCTGATGGAATATATCCGGCGTCATACATGTTGTTGATAAGTTTTGTCAGTGTGGTGATTCCGAAGTCCTCTAAAGCTTTAATCATCTCTGTGGTAATGTTGTGAGGTCCTTCAGCTTTCCCATTCTCCATCTTCCTTTGATAACTTCTTCCTTCATGGTTGGTGGGCCCTCGTTGTTATTTTCCACTCTTCTTTGTTCATCTCTATTGTCATTGTACACAGTATTAGTATTCTATGTTTTAATTACCCTCTCAATTTTGTAAATTGATCGATGATCGATCAATCGATCGCTCAATCGATCGATTGATTGACGATCGGTCGATCCATTGATCAATCGCTCAATCGATCGATTGATTAATTGATTGATTGATTGATTGATTGATTGATTGAGTATATTATGTTTTACGGCACGCTTTAGTCGTGTACGCGACATTGTACAGTCGACTACGGATGGGTTGATTTCGTCGGGGGAGTGAAAAAAGGAAGAAAAAGAAGTGCTCGGATCCGAGAAAAAACCAACAACCAAACCGAAGATTAACTCAATCGAGTTCAACACAAATGGAGTCGACTGTAACAATTTTCATTTACAAATTTACATCAATGTTTATAGTCGGGAGTTATATGTTTATCTTCTTTAGGGCAAAATAAAACCCGACCCCCCCCCCCCCTCACACACACACACAAATAATAATAATTTTAAAAAAATAGATAAAAAATAAATAAGTAAAAAAAAAAATAGTGAAAAAAAAAATCCATTAAAATTAAATAATACCCCCCCACCCCGGCCCCTTTTTACCGATGGTATCGGTTTCGTAGCCCAGCAGACTACCAACAAACTAAGAGACCTCCTTGAACGGCTACAGCCGCAATATTGAATCACCTGAACTCGCAATAGAAACGTCCTCGGGCAGTGGGTGGTTTGCGAGTGCTCTGATGTGGTTTGCTGCTTCTTTCCTTTCACACATCTATTGTCCTTATCTCCCCTTAACTGTGTTTGTTACCCTCTCGTAACACCTGAGATATTTGGCTCTTACATTACCTTGTAGAGATGCAAGTACCGTAGAACTCTAACTAAAAGTAAATGAGCAAGATCGAAAGTTAAGAACAGACGAAGCCATGGACTATGGACATTGTTTGTTTTTTTGTCAGTTGAATCCCCCCCCCCCTCCCTCGCCCCCAAGTACCAAAGTTTACTTTGCTCCAGGCGCACTATTTTTGCTCTGCTTAGCTCCGCAATTCATTCATGTCAACGAACAAACAATTTTCGAAGTGAAATGTTTATTAGCCAATATCTGCAAGTAAACTGTTCTTTCATAGAGTATTGCTGTGTTTTTCCGTACTTTTTTTTCCAAAGATCGTTTATGAGGCGGACTGCCTCAGCCATACCTGACCGAGCCAACCCGGGCTAAGAGAAGGGATGCACTCAATAAAAATGTCCTTACTCAGGAATCGAACTCATGTCTTATGCCTGCGATGGCGATGCTCCTAACCGCTACAACAGACACCATTCATGAGCGCTAGATATTATGATGTTTCTTAAAGTAGTCCTGAATATAGAACATTTCAGACCGGGCACGGACAAGCGTGTCCATGTTGTGGGCCGAGCGATTCCGAATATTTCGCTAGCCAAAACAGGAGAAAATTGAGTGAAATAAGTTGAAATATCCGAGTCAAGCTCTCAAAAGTGACTCAAGGGGCATCTTATGAGATAAAATATTGAATTATATTGCTTCCAGCTGGGACACAAACTATTGATTTTAATTTTGAAGACGGGGGCCACTTTCATAATTGATTACTGGGTCAGCTCGCGGACCAGACTGTAACTAATTTCTTGCGGAAAAGATCTTGCCCGCGGGCCGTAGTTTGTCCATTTTTGGTTTAAACTATACAGGCATCTATAGTGTAAGGGTTAGCGTTATACGTAAGAGACCCACGTTCGGTTCTCACTTCTGGAAGATATTTTGTCACAAATCTTGCTCTTCGTGCATTATCCCCTCGTCAAGTAAGGTTGAGACAGCCTTGATGGTCATGGCGATTTGTCGATAGGGGTGTGAAACCTTTACAACAGCGAGAGACGGATGTCAAACGACTGAACAGTTGTACATTCATGTCACAATGAACTCAAGGTACCTGAGAAACATATTTATTAGGTGCGGTGTGTCAAGGGGTTATCACATACAATCGGGATTTTGTTCTTTGTTCAAAGAAAGTCGTGAACGAAATAGTTCCTGACGACATGCAGAACTGCAAAAAAGTATTTGTTGAAAGCATACTTCAAGCTTTTCTATTTGCATTTTGTCTCTATTCTTCGAACTTTCTCAATATCACATTGCAGTTTTTGCATGTTGTATTTGGAATACAAAAGACATGTTATAATAGTTAAGATTTTGTGTCGCATTAGTATCATTAAGTAAACTCCTTTCAATGTACAGGTGAGCATACTTTCCGCTTTTACTTTTTAACTGCGTTCATTCAATAAAATATAATACAGTATATTACGTCACACCACCATCCCCTAACTTATGCCCCATTTCTGGGGCAAACAGAAAACAACCCACCAATCATAATCCATTGAAGTTGAAGCCACAGCACTCACATAACGTTTGAAAAACAAATGGAATCTTTGTACATTTTCACTTGGAACTCAAAATGGGCGGTAGAAAGTCTTACCGAGAGTTGGAGATCAGTTCAAATTTAGAACGGGAGATCGCTCCAGAATGGCCAAGGGTGAACTAACTATGAGGTCAATAATCTGCTCAATGAGGCAGATCGTTCCTGTGTGCCATCCTTTCTGATAAACCCAATAGATCACGTATTTGGAAGACCAGACAGATACTGCTGTCCACATGCTGCCTGTTCAACACCAGTCTGATTCTTAATTACCGGTCCGCGTCATTGCACTTCGATTGGTTGGGTCTGTATGATCTGTGTATAGTAGGGCTGTAGAGCAAATTCAACTGGCCCACTACTCTTGTATCAGGCCAACATTATTGGGCAGATGAAGTTTGATAACCGACGAAGTAGAAAGAAAGTCATATTGATCTGACTCGCGCCATCGGTTTGTCGTCGTCTTTTTGAACGTCGTCACAGTTACTGTTGCTGGTTGATATTAATGACATAGATAAAAAGTTGTCGTTCATTTATCACAATGGTCATAAGGAATGACAATTTGAATTCCCGACGAGTTCCATATAAGGATGACGTCAAAACGAATGGCCCTGAAATCTCCCGGATACAAAGTTGAATTGTAAAAATGTAGTTATTTGCAGTGAAAGACACCGTTGGCGACCAAAAAGCGCCCCATGGTGACTCTTCTCAATAGCATTTAGTTGTAATCCAGAAAGCTGAATTGTCGGCTGTGCAGATATGGTACCCGACAAAGTCAGTCTGACATATTTCCAGAACTGGCTTCTGTCGAATTCAGCTTCGTACATTGTACCAAAACTGAGGTCATCGGGCGAATGTACACCCTTCCTAATGACCTCATGTGAAAGACCCAGCGCCTAGGTTATGAGAATGAGACAGCGCTTCTCGTCTGGCTTGACCAGTATCTCCGCTTTTTGTGACATGAACACATCTACCCAGTCACACATTTGATGGTTTCTCAAACAGTAACGCGTCCTGCGACGTAATCTGTCTGTTTATGAGTGACAAGTCTTCCGTTTCAGTCAGCAACCATGCCTACACGCTCTAATATCATTGTAAGTTGAGTCACAAGAGTCGAATATGAGTGTAGTCTATGTGACTACATAAATTCAGACGTATGTGTCGTTTTCAATACTCATGTGAAGTGTACGTGGAATAGACTTGAGCTCTGGCGCCCGTCTTTGTTGTTTAGTGTGTGTGTTAGAGCTCAGCTGGCTTGGGTCTGAGCCGGAGTTAGACTGAATCCGGAAAGTAGCAAGCCTTGGACTGTCCTTGTAGCCTGCAGGCTTGCTGCTACAACCACCGCACGTGGGTATAGCGCCACTGCTGCTTGTCCCACTTGCCCCACCATTGGACGCGGGCGATTGTGATTGGTTGGTATGCTGCAGGGAGGAGGTTCTAGACGGCGTGGAGGCGTGGTCTGCCGCACGACGTGGGAGCGTTCCAGGTTCTGATTGGACGGAGTGGAAGTGCGTGTGGGCGTGGGCTAGGCGTGCCCGTCTCGCTTTGGTGGCTGGATGCTGCCCCCTCGTGTTGGGTCTCTCGGTGAGAGAAAACGTCCTGCCCATACGGCCCAAAGGGGCGTGCACCCGTGTGTGCTTTCCGAGACCGTTGGGTAGTCTGCTGCCGTTGCAGAGGCGGTCCGCCAGACTCCTCGGGGATTGCTGATAGTGATGGTGGTGGTGGTGATGATGGTGGCCAGACTTCATGTTGCGCCGTGCCTCGGGATCGCCGTCACTGCTGTGTGAGAACACATCGTCCTCGTGGCCGTGAGTGGTCGTGTCGCTCATCTCGTAGGCCCCCTCAGGGAAGTGGGAGGACATGGAGTCGTATTTACTGGGGATGTAAAGATATTATAAGAAACTTATTTGGTGAAGTATGGAGCTCTTCTAAACTCTTTTTTTTCCTTCGTCGTTTGGAAGGCAGACATCAGCCACCCTCCCCATGCCTTCTTTTCATTTAGTCACAGGGAGAAGAAAAACAATCCTTGAAGGGCGCGCCGTCATCACAGCAGGTATCACTGGTTCGTAGCACACCAGCCCAGTCTGTGGTGTTCAGGTAGGCATTTAGCTGTCGCACGCAGGAGACCCGATTTCGATTTGAAATTTTTTTATCGAGTATTTCAGTCTTTTTTGCTGGGATGTTCATCCCTCTCAGCCCAAGTTGGCCCTGACAGGCAGGATAGGAAGCCCACCTCTTAAATGATCTAAATTGTGTCGATCGGGGCGTAAAACTACCTATACAAAAAAGAACAACTACAACAAAAACAACCAACCAACCCCTCCCCCCTGAAAGCAAAACCAAAAAAATATATCTTTTAAAAAACCCGCAACAAATTGGATAGGGAAGTATATTATATTGTTACGAGATGCCAAATCTTCACCGGAGTGACTTTTAAAAATCTCCGCACATACAATGATCTCTTTCCAGTCCAGCTAGTTCTATAGCACCGATGTCGATGGGAATCTGGTGAAGAATACGAGAGAGAGAGGTTCACGTTTTGGTAACGATCTATCTGTGTCTTGTCAGATAAACACTGTGAAAAAAGACAAACCATTCTGCTATGAGCTCAACAAGAAACATGTTTCTACTTTCTTACAGCATGTTTCAATGTTTTTGTCGTTATTTCGGACCAATTTCAGGCGCATTAGGAATTTGTGTAAATTACCCCTTCCGGAATACTTAAAAGATTTTGATGTGACGCGCGCGCGCGCGCGCGCGCGCACTCACACACACACACACACACACACACACACACACACACACACACACACACACAGACGCACGCACACATACATGCACACACACACACCCACACGCACTGGCATACACACACACAGGCAAACACACAAACAAACAAACATACACATACATACTTAAAACCTTGCCTCAAGGGCACGGTCAAAAACCCTTCTCCCACGAACGTCTCTCTCCTTTTCTCTAATTCCTAAAGAATAGATAGATTCGACGTTTCTTTCTTTCTTTGGACAAGCTACGAAATTAGCTGTTCAGTATCTGCACACTAAGTTTACAAACAGTCTATGAACACGAATTTCTCCAAATATGTACCTTCTGAGATTACAACTAATCTATTCCTATTTGTTCACAAACAATATTATGCGTCTGTGCCCAAGTTGACTACTGATCTATGGCTACCGAGTTAACCACTGCTCTGTGGCTACTAAGTTAACTACTGAACTCACCCCTGTTCTATGGTTACTAAGTTAACTACTGAGTTCGCCACTGATCTATGGCTACTAAGTTAACCACTGATCTATGACTACTAAGTTAACCACTGATCTATGACTACCAAGTTAGCTGCCGATCTTTGCTTACTAAGCTCATAACTGATATAAGACTGCTAGTTTACAAATGATCTATGCATTTATGTTTTCCACTTCTACCTATCTTTGTCTACTAACTTCAATACCAATCTATGCCTACACTCGTTCTAAAAATCAATTTCCAATTATTTTCGTCTTTTAGAACAATCTCTTTAAATCTATCTATTTATGGGAAGGGGAGTCGCCAGAAAGACGCCTTCCTCGGGGAAACTAGGGAAGCTGGAATTCCTTCATACGACTCTTTCCCAATTGTATAATCCACAAGAGATAGATTATTAATGGCTATTTCCTGAACGGCAATAAAGAATCGTGTCTCCTTTCTCAGAGTGCTGATTATTTTGTTCGAGCTAGAAAATGTCAGGTCGAATGCATTCGAGATGAAACGCACAGACAGCGACGCGGCTGAAGATTCCCCTTGTGCTTTGAAGACAATGCCTTTCAGAAACTTTTTATTGTCGAAGAAAGGATTGGACCAAGAAAAAGTGAATTCAAGGGATTTCGTCCACAGGCTGTGTGACACGTTTGTGTTGTCGAGTGACGTGAATTGTAGCAGCCATCGGTTTGCGCAATATGCCATCGAGGAATGTCTCGTCTGCAAGGACAGATGTTTCATGTAAATCTCACTGAATATTGACTGTCTGAGTTCTTATTTGAGGCGTGTGGACTGTGTTTCCTATATGCTACAACCTGACGATGCCCGTTGTTATATCTGTATGTTGACTTGTGGACACACCATTGACTAAGTTTATAATATCATGCTGGACCTCGGAGAGGTTGGTCCTAGTTCGAACCCCGAACAGTGCGTTCTGAACTTGGGTTATTTTGTATGTGTGTGTGTGTGTGTGTGTGTGTGTG